CCAAACGACAGCCTGGCTGAAGCCGTGCGTGAACAACAAACTGCAAAAGCGGCAGGAGCGGTGAGGCAGGGCAACGAGGGAGCAGGCGAGAACGGGCGGCGGGACAGGGGGGGGAGGCTCAGACCGCCGGCCCAGCCCCTGGCCAGGCCAAACTCGGGGCGCCCATGGCACCGGCCAGCCCTGCGGGCGCGCTCTGCAACCGAGGGCCGGCTGCACTTGGCCACGACGCCTCCGTTTGACCCGCGTTGACCCGCGTTGACCCGCATTGACCGTAATGACCCGCGTCGGCCCGCAGTGACCCGCATTGACCCGCGTTGACCCACGTTGACCCGCGCTGACCGGCGTTGACCCGCACCTGAAAACGGCGAGCACCCAGATCCGCATGAAGAGCTCGAGCGCCAGCACAGTCAGGACCATAGCCACTCCCTCCAGCCTCACGCCGCCCCCCTGCGCCACGCACATCCGCGGCACGAGCTGCAGCGCGCCCCACAGGCAGGGCACCAGGCTGAGCAGGACGAAGCAGGCGGAGAGGGTGGCGGTGTAGAGCAGGTGGCGTGTGGCGGCGACCTGGCGGGGCGGCAGCAGCGGCTGCAGGCATGAGAGGAAGCGCACTGCGGGGAGTGGGGGAAAGATGGAGGGCGGGGGCGGAGAGCTTGGAGGTCTAGCGTGGAGGTGTTTGATTAGGGATGAAAGCGTCGGTCTAATTGATATGTTTGCACGCATGCACGCACACACGCGCGGATGCACTCACGCACGCACACACGCACACACACACACACACACACATACACGCGCACACACACACACACTCACACACACACACACACGCGCGCACGACGACGCGCACAACAGAGCCTTACATGCCACACTGCCAGTATCAAACGACACCCCTGCTCATATTGACACTGTGAGACGTCAACACGCACCAACGTACAAGCACAAACACGAACCCCACCGCACTCGCTCGTCGCCCGCCCAACACGCACTGCAAGCCGCCATGGCCCTTCACAGCCGCGCCCCCCACCTCTCAAGTGGACCTCCTTCAGCACGAGCAGCAGCAGCGGCGCCAGCAGCCCGCAGCCCAGCGACACGAACGCGTGCATGCACCACACCGCGTCGGCCGGCGGCAGCGCGTGGGCGCTCGTGCCGCGCGGCGCCAGGCGATGGGCCGGCAGGTCCAGATACCTGGCAGATATTTCGATGATAACATTTTGAGGGGTTGGGATGAAGACGCGGGGTTTAGTCAGGTGGGGGCCGATGCGGAAGCCGAAGATGTGCAAGTGAGATCGCAGGACAATCGCAGGGCATCGCTGCTCGAGATGGATTAGGGCATCCAGCGCCCCCGCCCGTGAGCGCAGCACTCGTCTTGTCCCATCCAGCGTGGCACGAGGCCGCCCGCGCACCGCGCCAGCCGCGTGAGCCGCTCGTAGGCCGCCTGCGCCGCGGGCGGCAGCTCCGGCGCCGCGAGCAGCGCGGGCGCGGCCGGGGCGCCCCTCACGACGGCGACCAGCGACGTCAGTGCCAGCAGGCCGATATGCAGGTCGAGGGGCAGCGGATAAAACAGGACAAACACGATGTTGCTCGAGGCTGGGGAGAACAGGAGCATCCGGAGGGTGACGTCATCGACGGGCCCAAGCTCCAGCCCCTTGCGCGTGAAGAGCACCCACGCGCCGAGCCGGTAGAGCCGCGCCGCGGCGACCGCCGCGCCGCGCCAGCGCGCGTACGCTTGCGGCGCGGAGAGCAGGAGCAGCAGCAGCAGCGCCGACTGCGCGGCGGACGCGCCGCACGCGAGGAGCGAGGGCGTGGCGAGGAGGCCGGCCCAGGGGTGCGACACCCGGTGGCGCAGGAGCGCTGACATCACCAGCAGCGAGTTGACTACAAGGTTGCAGGTGTCGGCGGCGCGCACCGCGGCCTGCGCGTGCGATCTGTATGCCGCCTCAACCTCGGGATCTGAAAACTCCATGAGCCACCCGATGGGCAGCGGCCCCTCGCCGCGCCGCCGCGCGGCCGCGACGGCCGCGGCGAGCGCGCCGGGGCCGGGGCCGGGCGGCGGTTGCGGTTGTGGCTGCTGCCGCTGCCGCTGCGGCTGCTGCGGCGGCGGCGCCGGCAGAGAGGTCGTGGGCGGTGCGGGCGGCTGTGGCGGATGGGAGGGCTGGGCGGAGGATGCCGCGGGGCGGCGCTGCGTCAGTCCGCCACCAGCCCCTCCTGAGCTGATGGTTGTGTTGGCTTCGGCGCCTTCATCGTCATCCATGGCGCTCGCAGCTTGGCCGGCTGGCTTGCCGCTTGCAAGCGCTGGCGGGGCGCAGCGTCGCCGTCACTGGAGTGTTGCGCAACCCCTTGAGCCTCCTTGCGCGGCCATGCGAGCTAGATGGTGCGTTGGCACCGCAGGATTTTCATGGGCATGTGAGGTCGAACTGTGACAACCCCGCGCGGGTGACGTTAGCTGGTTGATCTGGCTGCAGAGGGTGCGAGTAATTTTCAAAAAGGGTGTCGACAATGGGAACGTGATCACCGTAAGCAACCTTGCCAATAAATAATGTATTTTGCAAACGGCACAGATTTTGTCGAGTTGTTCTTGCAGCGTTGACAGTGTGGTGCAGTATAATTGATTCCTCGTCCATTACTACGACCCTAACTGTTTGATGAAGGTCACACGGCTAAGGCAGCAACCTACGACAGCGGGCTGCTGACGCAGTCGCTGCGACAGCTGCACAGCGGCGGGTACAACGCCAGTCCTGCCGCCGCTGCATTGCATCAGTGCGGGGAGGCAGCCGGCCCTGCAGGCCGCAGTGTGCTAGCAGCCTTGCTGCCGCAGACAGCAACGCACACGCACATGGCACGGGCCTGATCGATCGGCCGTCCACGGCGCACGTGCCGACATACGGCAACGGGCTGACATGTTCCGCCGGCATGAGAACCTGCAAAACCGGCTGTGGAGGTGCGCCCAGACCCAGGGACGCCCTCACGCACGCGTGCCTGCACCCAGCCCAACCAGCCCGGGCCAAACGGTAGCTGTTGGGCAGACCCTCGCATTAGCACCAGCGGCGCGCGGCCAACAGCAGCTCGGCTGGGTGCGGCTCGCGGGGCGCGCCGTGCGTCAACCGACCCCCGTGATCAACTTCTGCCGTGTTGCTTCTACTTTTTGAACCCCCGCTCCTGGTGCCCAGATACCGAGGACCCATAGCAGTGGCCGTGTCGGTGAGCTGCGCGCCCACTGGGGTGCCTGCCTCATGTTTGGATCCCGCATCGCCGAAAACCGCCCATCATGCTTGCCGTGCCTCACGCGCGGGCTCGCGCCGGCCGCCCCCGCGCCTGGCGGCGCGCCACGTGCCGCGCACGCGCCCCCGCGACGCGCGACGTCAGCGCGGCCGTTTGGTGGCGACGAGCACGCAATTCGAACCTGCTGACCACCCCTGCAGCTGCTGCTGGTGGTACTGCTGGCGTTCTCGGCGCTACCGCCGCGCGACCCGGCCCGCTCCCTCCCGAGCGCACACCTGCGGGGCGCCGGCACGTTTGGCGGCGGCGGCCGGAGCGGCGACGACAGCGGCGGCGGCGGCGACGGCGGCAACCATGATATCTACAGCGTAGTCATTGACGCGGGCAGCACGGGCAGCAGGATCCATGTCCTCAAATTCAAACGGGACGCAGCTACCCGGCAGCTGCAGCTGGTGAAGACGGGTTTCAAGGCGCTCAAGCCGGGGCTGAGCGCGTACAGGGACGAGCCCCAAAAAGCTGGGGAGAGCCTGAGGCCGCTGCTGGAGACGGCAATGGCGGACGTGCCCGAGGGGCGGCGCGCGGTGACAGGGCTGAGCCTGAAGGCGACGGCGGGGCTGCGGCTGCTACCAGGCAGGAAGGCAGACGAAATATTGAAGGTGAAAGCGTTTGGATGCGCGGATAACGGACTGCGTGAGTTGGGGCATGCGGCAGGTTGTCCGTGGGCGTGTGTGTGTCATGTGAGCGCTTATGTGTATGTGTGAGAGTGCGTGCGTGCAGGCGTGTCTGTCGATGTTTGCGTGCATGCGTGCGTATGCATGCGCGCGTGCGCGTGCGTGTGTGTGCATGTGTATTTGTATGTGTGAGTGTTTTGTGTGCACGCGTGAGTCCGCAATGTGGAATGAGCATGATTATGCATGTCGTGTGTGCACCATGCGCCTAGGCATCAAGTGCTCGCTATTGCATGAGTGCCCAAGCCAGCCAGCCCAGCGGGCCAATGCAGCGACACGTGCGCCGGCCGCCCTGCCGCGCTGCTCCCGTCCTGACAGGCGGTGACGTCACTCCTCGAGGGCTACCCCTTCCAGCTGAAGGAGGGCGCCGTCGGCATCATGGATGGTGCGGGCTGGGCGCATTGTGGGAGACACCACCTCAGCCGCACTTCTGCACAAGCAGACACCGGCGCACGCCAGCTCGGGCCCGGGACGGCCAGCTACGGAGGGGCGCGGCGGGGTCTCCGGCGCCCCCGGAGCACCGCCGCCGCGGGACACCACGCGGCGGCGCCCTCGTGCCGCGGGACCCCCGCCCGCCTCCCACCTCTCCTGCCCTCCCTGCCGTCTTCCCGCCCAGCAGGCCGGTCCATGCACACACATTCTTTCTGCCCACCCCCTCGCAGGTGCCCATGAGGGTGCCTATGCGTGGCTCACACTGAACTACTTGCTTGGCAAGCTCGGCGGCGGCCCCAACGCGACCGTCGCCGCGATCGACCTGGGCGGCGGCTCCGTGCAGGAGGCATTCGCGCTGCCAGACGCGGAAGTCAAACAGGCGCCGGAGGGATACGTCACGACCGTGAGGGCGGGGGCGGGCAGCTACAACGTGTACGTGCACAGGTGAGCGCCTCGGAGAACGGCGCGGACGCCATCAGTGTGGCGATAGCAGAAAAGGTAGCGGGCCGTCGGCTAGACAGCATTCCCCAGGGCGCTGTGCCGCTGCTTTTGCAGGTATGACCTGTTGTCGGGGCGCGCGGTAGTCCCCGCAAGCCGCGGCTGCCCTCTGACGCCCCGCCACCTTCCCGGCAGCTACCTGGGCTATGGCCTGATGGCGGCCCGAGCCCGGGTCATCGAGTCGGGCGCCCCTGGGCCTGGCGGCGGCGCCGGGAACGGCACGGGCCACCCCTGCTTCGCCAAAGGCACGAATTTGAAATACTCGTATGCAGGGAAGGACTACCAAGTCGGAGAGGTGACCAGGGAATCCAAGCAGCAGCATGGGGGCAGGGAGTGGGGCGGCGACGCGACACAAATGCTTGGATGGAAACCGCATCTTGTTTCGCAGCCCGCGGAGTCGACAGACGCAGCTGGCGGCTCGGGATGGTGGGGAGCAGGGGTAGTGGCGGCAGAGGTCGGCGCCGCCGCGGGCCGCCATAGTATGGGCATCCCGGCGGGCGCCACTCACGAGGAGAGCGCCCGTCCGCGCGCGACCCCACCAGGTCATCGCCGCCGGCGACTTCACGCGCTGCGCGGCGGCGGCGTTCAAGGCGCTTGAGCATGACAAGGACTGCGGCGCCGACAAGGTGTGAGTATGTGTGTTGGTGTGAGTGGGTGTGGGTGTTGGTGTGAGGGTGGGTGTGTGGGTAGGGGAGGGGGGCGGGTGCTCGCGGGCTGGTGCAGCCGAGGTGGTGTCCGGGGTCATGGGTGGCCGCGTGAGAGGTTGGCAGCCGGCCGTGATTGAGAGGGCAAAAATGTTTCGCAGATCTGCGCGCGTGCACCAGCTGGCCTGGCTGCAACTGCCACGGTTGCCCGCGGAGAGGCAAAGACCTCATCCACACACAGCCGCGTGGCACGCACCAACGCAGCGCCTCTCACACCTGCCCTCCGACCCAAACCCCTCCCTTTGCACCGGGAATGCTCAACCCCGTCACATCCAGGCCGCGTGCTCGTTCAGCGGCGCATGGCGCGGTAAGCCGAGCTCCATGCAGCGCGTGTACTATGTGAGCAGCTACTTTTTTGACAGGGCGGTGGAGGCGGGGATCATTACAGACAAGAACGCCATTGACTTCAAGACCACGCCACACGTGGGTTGGGAGGCGTGGGCTCGTGCGTGTTTGCGCATGCGTGCAAGCAAGCATGCGTGCGCATGTATGTGGGTGTGCACGGGGCCTGTCGTGGCTGCGCGGGGGTGTGTTTTGCGGGTGAGCATGTGTGCATGCACATGCGCGTACTTGAGGCGTATAATGAAGGGTGGGAGGAAGAGAGTGAGAAAGATTGTAGGTGTGGGTGTGTGTGTGGGGGGGGGTGGGTGGGGGGGTGTGAGGCCCCCTGATAGTTGCACATTATATTTCAGATACGCCCCTCACCCGCACCCACCCACGAAAACGGAACGCTCGCGCAGGAGTTCGCGCGCCTCGCGGGCGAGGTGTGTGGCAAGGATGCCGCTGAGCTGGCGAAGCGGTTTTCCCTGCAAGACGACAACGCACCGTTCTTCTGCCTCGACCTCAGCTTCTGCCACACCGTGCTGACCCAGGGCTTCGACATGCCAGACCACGAAAGTTTGACTCTGGTCAAGAAGGTCAAATATGGCGATCTGGGGCCGATCGATGCCTCGTGGTCGTTGGGCGCGGCTATCGACGAGCTGTCGACACCCGCGCCGGCGCGGCGGCAGCGGCGGCGGCTGAGAAGGCGTGGGCGACGGCGAATGTAGGGCCGCGGCGGGCTCCCTCCGCAGGCGGGTGCTGCTGAGGCGGAGCGGGGTGTGGTGTGATATGCATGGGGTTTACAGGCAGCGTGTTGCGGTGTGAATTCACGTATTCTTGTCTGCTGCCAATGTAAGGCCTGCTGCAGATGGGCCAGTTCAATACTTCCAAGGGCGGGGGGCGGGCAGCAGGCAGAGCATGGCGGTGCGGCGAGTGACGTGTGGGCATCAGCGTGCGCGGGAGCCGGCTTGTCTATTTTTTGTTGCGCCTCGACCGCGTTGCTTGTACACCTAGTACAGACTACGATAACGAACCATGTTGTGCGGTGTGCAGAAGCAGGTCCTGCGTGCCCAGGGGTGCCGCGCGGCCCCTGTTCGTGCTAATGCTGTCGTGAGGCGCCTGGTGCGTAACATGGCTCGGCCCACGCCCAGCGCTGAGATGAGGCCGCCTTTTCTATGGCGATCACTGAGCCCAGCAGCCCTTGCTACGACGAGGCGGGATGTTTGCAATGAGGATTGGCTATACATGGAATTTCCATACTCCTGACGTCCAACTGGAGCCGTCATTGCACTTGAGCTGTGCCGCAGCAGCATGTGCGCTGCGGCGCCTGCTGCCCTGTGCTCGAGCAGCGCACCGCTCCCTGTTCACGCTCCCCTTTCCCTCCGCCGCGCACGCCGTCCCCCCCTGCCTCCACCGCGCAGCGCCATGTCGTGTCTGCGGCCGCGGTGGCGGAGCGCCCCGCGGCGCCGGCCAACCCCTACAGGCAGCCGGCCGGCCAGGGGCTGGGCTTCTACACCGGAGAGGACGGTTACATCTACTGCGACAACCTGAAGGTTGACGACATCAGGCAGCAGGTGCATGATCTGGTCGCTGACGTGGCTGTTGCGGGGATGCGTGTGTATATGTGGGGAAGTGTGTGGGAAGCGGTGAGAGTAGTTACACAAGAGTACGAGCACGTGACCGTTCGTGTGTAGGGAGGGGGCAAGCTGTGTGTGGGCGTGTCCAGCTGCGTTCTGGTTTGTGGCGACGTGTTTGGCTCAATGCAATACAGAGCCCTCATGTGCTGCCTTGCAGCCGTCCATACGCAACCCTCGTCGACGCCGTCGCGCGGGTGGCAAGCCGTTGGGCGCAGCACGCACCAGCCGGGCGGCGCCCCGAAAGCACCCGGTTTCGTTTTTTGTTCAAACCCGACGCCACATGCACGCAAGCATGCACACATGGGCATGCATGTGGCAATAACACCAAGCGGGCCTTCAACCTGCAAACCCGCACAACCCAACATCACGTTGCATAACCCATCCATAACGCACACCTTGTCCTTCTGGGGGTACACACACATACATACATACTTACGCACACACACACACACACACACGCACATTTTCACCCACACACACATTCACATACACAGCAGCCTGTGTGAATATGTGTGTGAGTGACAACGAATGGTGTGCGTGCATGCAGACACACACACACACACACACACACACACACACACACACATCAACGCACCACACCCCGCCCCACCCCCTCAACCCCCCAGGTCCAGGAGAGCCCCTTCTACCTGTACAGCCGCGACCGCATCGCCTCCAACTACGCGGCCTACCAGGCCGCGCTGGCGGGCCTGGACAGCATCATCGGCTACGCCATCAAGGCCAACAACAACCTCAAGATCGTGCAGCTGCTCCAGGTGGGGGGCCGGGGGTGGAGGGGATGGAGGG